ACTGTTAGTCTTGACTGCAATCTCCTTCTCCAGATTCATCCGTGAGTCTTCTAGGTTCCTCAGGGCCTGCTCTGAGTCCAGAAGCTTCTTCTTCAGAGCCTCGATGGATTCCGTCAATTCCTCCACTTCGCTGATCAACCTGGATAAGAAGGGGACAGAATACTGGTTCAGAGGTTACATTCAATGTGGAAGAAGAGGACAAGGACAAGGCGCTACAGGCTGGACACCGTATTGCAGGGGTAGGCAACCTTTCCCCTTTAAGGGCCGAGGGACTTCAGCTCCCAGAAGCCTCAGCCATGTTGGCCAATAATCCCATGTTGGCCAATAGCTCCTGGGATTCTGGGAGCTGAAGTCCCTCGGCCCTTAAAGGGGAAAGGTTGCCTACCCCTGCCGTATTGTGTCTATATTTTGCAAAATTTATATCGGAAGATCGCATGCTCAACAACTGGTGTCTTCATAGTTAATACTGTAAGATGAAGCCAGTTCTGCATGTCCAGTCATATAAGTATAGATATTAGATAAAGTAAGACAGAGAGCCTAAGTACCTTACAAGCACCAGATCCCCTCTTTCGTTTTCTCTCTTTGGAAACATAATGAGAAATGATGAAGCCTCGGTGTATCTAATGAATGTCTACTTGTGCCAATTGCTCAGAACATGGATTGGTTCATGCCTCTTGGACTCACATTTCTAATGGAAATGGAAGACTGTGAAGTGAAAAAAGCATCCAGTAGTTTCTAAGGGTTTTTTTTTCCTTCTCCTTTCTGTGTGTTTGCATTTGTACAAACGTGTTAGCGATGGGTGCTAGATGCTGATAATCTTCCCTCCGTGTGTGTGTGTTTGCAGAACAATCAATGCCTGCTTCATTGCAGCCGCAGGAGCAGAACTCAGAGTTAATAACCTTTCAGTTGTAATGACAGAAATCCATTTGAAGCAAAGGACCAACTAGACCTGGGGTAAAGGTACAGTCTTGTTCTCTGTTGCGACTTCGGAGCCATCTGTTATGTGTAACTTTGGAACAATACACAAGTTTTAAGAGAAGCATTCTGAATGCACAACTTTTACTCCACAGACAGGATCTACAACTCATTCAGATCTCATTGCCCTCCCTGATATCAATAAAACATTAGGAACAAGCTGGACAATGGACCACTTTTGGGCTCAACTTTTGAGTGCCCATGGTACTAGTATCAGTCTGTGGCTGAATTTTGAAGGAAAGGTCAGAGACTGATGATAAGGACAAAGTAAACTAGAGCTATGCTAAAGGAAAAGTATCCTGGATTAAAAGGGGGGGTGGAGAAAGCTGCAGGGTTATTAAATTCTTAGAAATCTGAAGGAAAAGCAGATTAAGCATTACCAGAGCATTCGGACCCTATTATTAGCTAATTGGGGCTTTCTACTTGTAACAAAAACAAGCTGGGATCTATGGGAAAAGTCCAACTGGAATAGTTTTTACTTGCATGCAAAGGGATCTTGTAGCACCTTTGAGACTGAAACGGTGCAAAAGAAGTTGTAGCATCAGCTTTCGTAGGCTTGGTCTACCTCCTCAGATGCAGTCTACAAAAGCTTATGTCACAATGTCTTTCATACAGTTAGTCTCAAAGGTGCTACAAGATCTCTTTGCATACTGGCATCCCAGACTAACACAGCTATGTCTCTGAATTCTAGTTTCTATTTAGTGCTTGCTTGGTCATTTTCCATTATTGCTTAATGACTGTTGTTTCACAATTGACTAATACATCCCCAGTCCCTTCCTATGATTTGCTAAATGTTGTTATATGCTGTTGGTAGGCAGATTTTCTGAAATTATTATTTTCAGAAAATGGCAATGTGTATGTTTGCTTCAGTGCCAGATTGTTCAGGTGAATGCTAACATCTGGACTGGTACTTTGTGTCATTAAATAAATTGCTGCCTTCAATTCACTCTATCTCCTTTCTTGAACCCTATATTGGACAAGTTTCCTCTTCAGCTCCAAATATAATTTCTGGGTTCTAGAAGCAACTATGGGGAGAGAAATCCAACCCTTCACACATTCCTGCACTGCATTCATATATATAAAAGCTGCAATATATATATTCCCTACAAGAGGTGTTTTCAGCCACAGAGGGAATGACAGAAAAATACAATTTTGTAAATTAACCATTCTGGAAGTTGACATTCCCCTCTTTCCTTCTCATCACATCCTCAATCCAATTAGTTTTCTCACCTTATTTTTGGAAGAGAAAAAATACATTAGAGTACAGGCTTAAGCCATCTTAGTGTTGGGCATAATAATTTACTGTGTAAATTAGACTCCAGGTTGCATTTGGCCACTGTATATCAAATAAAAACTGGGCAGTAGCAAAAAAAAAAAAAACTCGACAAAAGAAAAGGGAGAGAGATTTCAAGATACTGGAAGGGAGTCTTTATGAGATGAAAAGCTCATTGCCTTTTGGCTTATATATACTCTTGCAGCTTTTTCTCAAGAGCCGCTAAATGTCAAGGCTGCAGAAATTTTTAGACAAGAAATGTGAACAACACTTAGAGCTTTCCTTTTGTGGAAACAATTTGGTGCCTGAAGTCAATGAAAAGAGGCAGATTCTCTCTCACGCATACAACGCATACTCATACACGCATGTCTACCACAGCCATGTCAAATAGAAAAGTTGACGGAAAGCAACTGAACCTTTCTTTAGCACTGACAATGCAAGAGAATTTGTCCCTCCCACATACCTGAAAACAAGAAACTCACTTAAGGGCTGCAAAGCAAGTTGCATTGGACACAGCTCTGTCCTTCAGCACCTTGATGCCATCTCCCCGTATTTGGCCTGCAACAGCCATGGTTGCAATCCACTGCTTTTCGGTGAAATGGGAACGGTATCTCTGCCTGTTACTTTCCTGGGGGCAGGGGTTGGAGCAAACTCCATTTGAGCAATGGGAGTGAGAACTGTTTCATGTGTGGTTGCCTTGTGCTGCAGCCAGAAAGGATTGCTTTGCAAAGTTGTTCACCGTTTTCTTTGCGTTCCCAAGGTGCCATATCTGAATTAGACACATGGGGGAGCCAGAGAGCACTTTCCTGCATTTTCCAGTGGCACAACAGTAACTGTAACTTGCAAGTAACAAGGAAGTCAGCAAGTTCCCTTCCTGGACTGTAACGACATTAAAAGTCTAATCATCTATTGAATGATGAAAGTAATGAGTCAAGTAACTCACTCCTTTCAATAAGCAATATTCCAATTTTTGTGTTGAGTACATTATTTCATATAGCAGTGACTGAATGCTTTGGGTATCCCAAATCTCACCTCATCTCACCAATGGCACAGGTTTATAATTTGAGGACCTGGCTTGCAATTTGGATCCTCCCCTAAATCCAAGCGCACGGTGCTGTCCCTTTCTCCAACAACACCGAAACAGCTTTAATGGGGCTTACCTGAACTGGGCTGCATCCCTGCAGAGATCAACGTTCGGCCTAAAAGAACGATCGTAAAGTCTCGTCTGGGCGACTTTGAGCGGCGTCTCTTTGTCTTTAATCGCCTGCTTGAGAGCCGCAATGTTGTGCTCCTGATCTCCAATCTCCTTCAGCGTCTGTTGGAAAAGCATTATCGAGAGGAAATTAGAAACACTGTAGAACTCTTTGAGAAAGGTAAATGACTCTATCAGCCCTTCGTCCATCAACTACTTCTGCTTGCAAGATCAATATACAGAAATGGCAAAGGCAATTCTCAAGTGAAAGAGTCATCACAGCATCAGAGAGTTGCACAGGGCCACAGCGGTCATATAGTCCAGCCTTCTGCCCAACATCCTTATGGCTCCGCCATTTGTGCAAATGAGACGGCATATAGAAATAATTTATTTCTCGAGGAACACGTGAATGAAGGGACAAGGATGGAATAAGATGCCGCTGTGTTTTCTTGCTGGAAAAGACAGCAAAACACCACTGGAACCTTTTGACAGTAGAAAAATGCTTGATTGGAGGAATGTAGCGGTCTCTTGGCTCAATTCCGTGTGTTTGAAAACAATTTAATCTTGTTCAAATGAATCCTGTTGTTTCCCAGCCTTCACTCTCTGAGCCTGGAATCAGTCTTTGAAAAGTGCCTCGCATAAAGAGGCGTTCAAGGTGAATATTCCAAAACAACGGCAGCTAGCTGGGTCTCCCTTCAAATAGGGGCTGAATCCAGTTTGGATTTTGTTTGAACTGTAAAGGAGCTGCAGAAGCTTTTGTCACCCATTGGGTCTCCATGGCTGAGCAGGGACTCGAACCCCGGTCTCCAAAGTCACCGTCCAATGCTCAAACAACTACTCCATGCTGGCTGAACCTGACCCCTACCCCAAATAAAACTCAGACCAGATCCATTGCCCCCCCCCAGCAATTGCACGTACCTTCTTGAGATGGTGCTCCAGCTTGTGCTTGGCATCCTCCATCTCCTCGCAATGCTTGGCGAAGGCTTCGTCCACCACGTTGCACTGCAGGCGCAGGTCCTCGGCCGTGTCGTGGAGGATGTTGTCGATCAAGGCACGGAGGTTGATGGAGGCCAGTTTCTCCCGCTCGGCCCGGTAGATGTTGTCGTGGCTGTGCTTGGCCCAGGTCTCTGGGGTAGAAGCACTGCAGCATCGAGACCGTAGTGGCACGCAAAGAAGGGAAGAAAGTCAGGAAGAAAAGGGCCAATGCATTGCAACACTGTTTGTTATCCGTGTCAGTGGCAAAGGCACAGGGAGGACGTCGCATGTTGTTCTGCCCACCTTGCTTCAGAAGAAGAAAAATGGGTGCTACTGTGGTCAATGCATTGGTGGACAATGGCACACAGAGCAGGGGGCATTCCTCCTCCTTGTGCCATGCCAACACATTTTGGCACACCCAAAGTGACGCGCCATTACTTGTTGTGTGCCTTCAAGTCATTTTCGACTTATGGCGACCCTAAGGAGAACCTATCACACAGTTTTCAGGGCAACTTTCTTCAGAGGGGGTTTGTCATAGCCAGGCAGAAAGAGCGTAACTCGCCCAAGGTCACCAAGTAGGTTTCATGGCCGAGCCGGGATTCGAACCTGGTCTCCAGAATCATAGTCCAACATTCAAACCACTACATCACTATGGGCTACCATTTGGGCTGATTTTCAGCCTTCTTTTTTTGCATGTGTTGGGGAGATTTGGGCATGTTGTGGGTCAGGGGAAGCATACCGCTGCATTTTTAGGTGGTTTTTGGAGATTTCAGCCAGTGTCACTTATGGTTGCATGATTTAATGGGATCATCACACATAGTAACTGAGACCTAGAACTCATAGTTCTCCAAAGGCTGGTTTCTTTGCAGCCAAATGCAGGAGAGGATGAGACAGGATCTGGGGCAACTGCAAGGCGTGGAGAAGGATAAAACATTTTTAATTGTGATGGTGGGGGATCTCTGTTGGAAATGCAACAATGCTCAGGGTTTAAAGAGTTGAATGCAACTTAGAGAGGACAGGGTTGATGGAGCGTCTGGAATCCTGGAGAGAAGGGCTCTGTGCTGCAACATTTTGTTGCATTTCGCACTTGCCTTTGCTTGCTCTCATCCACAGGTAAAGGGAACCCGGAGTTGCTCACCTGTCCTCAAACTTGGATGAACTCGGATGGAACTGGATGTTGGTGCTTTGGTTGTTGTACCTCCCACACTTCTCGTCAATGTTGTACGTCTCAACCTTGTCGGACCAGTCCATTTCACAAATCTGCTTATGGTCTCGATTTAACCTAAAGGACAACAAATCTCACTTGGAGAAGACATCTTGCAAAGCACAGCCATTTACATTGCTCCCTTGGATGTAACAGGTACAAATTGGTGTCGTGTCCCTTCAAGGTGCTTCTGACTTATAGCAATCTTAAAGCAAACCCTATGATGGGGTTTTCTTGGCAAGATTTCTTCCGGGGGGTTGCCCTTGCCTTCCTCTGAGGCTGAGAGAGTGTGACTTGCCCAAGGGGGTCTCCATGGATGAATGGGGATTTGAACCCTGGTCTCCCAGTGTCCTAATCCAAAGTCAAACTAGGCTTAGGACTTTGAAAACCCAGTTCCCAAAATCCCGTCCCTGGGTCATCTTCCATGGAGAACACCAAAGACACTAATACAACTGTATGTTTTGTATGTCTGGCTTTCCAAAGGAATTCAAAATAAGAAGGGGCATTTTTAATTCTGTTTCCATATGACACCTGCTGGGGATCTGAAGTGATGCACAAAGGAAACTCAGCCTTTAAACTTGGGCAATATAACCCTGAGAACATCTCAGATGTAATTGCTGAATAAATACCAAATATCCAGGAGTGAAATCCACTTTTACAGGGTGTTTCAACCAGGGTTGTCTGCAACAAGAGTTTGCTAGGTGTTTTGCAGGATATCATGACTGAAAAAACAACAACATCTTCTTCTTTTTTAAGTTGCAGATATACAGGTTGAGTCACCCTTATCCGAAATGCTTGGGACCAGAAGTGTTTATGATTTTGGAATATTTGCATATACATAATGAGATATTTTGGAGATGGGACCCAAGCCTAAACACAAAGTTCACTTATGTTTTGTATGCACCTTATACACATAGCCTGAATGTAATTTTATATAATATTTTTAAATAATTTTATGCATGGTGCAAAGTTTGTGTGTAGACTGAACCATCAGAAAGCAAAGGTGTCACTCCCTCAGCCACCTGTGCGGACAATTTTGGATTTTGGAGTATTTCATATTTCAGAATTCTGGATAAGAAATGCCCAGCCTTTAATAATTTTTAACCCTGAAACCCTGAAAATTGTGTCAAGAGTTCCACCAGTGTACAAAAGTTGAGAAAAGCTGTGATACCACTTTATTTCTGGGCACAATTCAGAGTGCTGCTTATGAACTATAAAGCTCCATACAGTCCGGGTACAAACTATCTAAAAGTCCATATCTCCATATAGGAGCCTGCCTGAGTCTTAAGAGACTATAGAAATCCCTTCCACAAGAGTCTAGGACTGCAGAAATAATGCTGTTTGTCACCGCTTTAATTGCCATGGCTCAACACTTTGGAATCTTGGGATTTGTAGTTTGTGGTGGCACCAGAGCTCTCCAATAGAGGTGGCTAAGTATCTCCCAAAACTGGAAATCCCAGAATTCCAGTTAAAGTCATATCAAACTGCAGTGTTGGTTAGATCTTAGTCTTGACCAAATGCGATTTGCTTTTCCGCATTTGCTGGGAGATACGAAATAAGAGAGAGACAAGGGCGCCCCAACTGTTATACTTTGCAATGGTCTGGGGGCCTAAAATCCACTGGGAAGTGTGTTTTGGAGGGCCACAAATTGGATCCCGTGGGCCAGATATGGCCTCCAGGCCACACTTTCCCAGCTCCCGCTACATATCCTTCTGTCTTTCACTTCTGAAGTGTATCCTTCCATATCCAGCTGTTGCCATCCAAAATCCACAAAACAGTGGGCCAACCAAATGCAAAAAGTACATGTTGGAAACTTTTGAAACTTCTCTGGCTTCTTTCTTTGCCGGATGAAGAAGCCGGCGAAGCTTTGAAAACCTGCAATGTACATTTGTTTGCATTTGGCTGGCCCCATAAAGGCATCACTGGTCCAAAACACACTGCAGAAACAATAACCCAGTTTGAGAGTGCTTTGACTGCCCTGGCTCAGTGCTAGGGAATCATGGGAGCTGCAGTTTATTGTGGCCCCAGAGCTCTCTGATAGAGAAGGCTAAAGGTCTCCCAAAACTACAAATCCCACACTTCTCTAGCATTGAGCCAGGGCAGTTAAAGCGGTCTCAAAGTGGATTATTTCTGCAGTGCATTTTGGACCACTGTTTTGTGGATTTTGGATGTTATTGTAGGATATACCCTTCGATGTGTTGAAGAATCTCCATGTTCTCTAGCTTCTTAGTCAATGCCACCACCTGGTGGCAACCACTTGCAAAGGAAAATTAGAAATTTTATTTTATTTTATCTTAAAGTAGGGCAGCCTTTCTCCCCATCTTGTACACTGAACTTGATTGAAACCACCGAAGGAAGATCAGGTCACATAGGCATGTTCTATGGTCCCTGATGCTACGAATCCCATTTGCAAGAGATCCCTTTCCTTTGAACCTCTCTCTCTGCAGAGTGACTCCTTTCCCTTCTTCCATCAGCCGGTCCTTAGCATTATACCAGGTTCAGAGTTATGCCAATTGCTGGCAGTTTATGAAGGGCAAAAAGGGATCTTACTGCATCTGGTTAACCGCTTGCTTCACAGTTCTTTTCAGGAGCTCTTGTATATTTCGGATGAGCTCAGCTTCCTAGATAAAAATGGTAGAGATGTTAGTAGCGGGTAGTGCATGCCGGATGGAAAGGAGGGACACACTTTATAATGACTGGGTGCAAGTCCTGGTAAAAAAATAAACCCAGAAAATGCAAGTTTTATCATACCAATGCAACTTTCTTTGGAGAAGAAAGTTTCCAAAGTGCAAGGAAGCTTTTGCTTTTGTTTTCAAAATGCAAGGAAGCACGTTTCTAGTCCTCATGGCTGAGATGATATCCTATATCATCTCAACGATGAGGACTAGCAACTTGTTCCCTTGCATTACATGCCTCCTGAAATCATGATACAGTGGCTCCTTAGCATCCACTGGGGTTTGGGTCCATGACCCTCCATGGATACTAAAATCCATGGATGCTCATTCCATCATTGTATGCAATGGAGGAGTGAAACGGTTTCCCTTATATAAAATGGCAAAACCAAGGTGTGTGTTTTGGAATATATGTATATATAAAAAAAATCATATATATATATATAATCATATATATATATAATCATATATATATATATAATATATATAATCATGATGATGCAATGGCATAGTAATATGGTGTCCCTGATATAAAATGGCAAAACCAAGGTTTGCTTCTTAGAATTTCTATTTTTAGGAAATGATTTCAAGCTGTGGATGCTTCAATCCGAGGATCCAAGGAGGGCTGGCTGTCCGTATGCAGTTTTCAAGGTGATGCTGTCACCTTGAGATCCCACCTTCTCACACTGAGAATCCTGGCTGCGTGGTCCTCCTGTGGGAAGGCGAGATGATGAAGACCAAGCGAACCATCCTCACCTTGAGCAACTCGACCTCCACCTGGTCCCTCACCAGGTCGGGCGGCTGCCTCCGTTCCCGACATTGCAGGTTGTCGGTGGCGATGCTGTAGGGGACCTGGGTGGCATCCAGGGCCCGCTCCAGCCTCAACTTCTGGGCCGCCAAGAGCTCCGTCTCAGACGCCAGGTCTTCGATCTCCCGCTGGAGCTCCGACTTCCAGAAATGGATGTCCTGCAGGCGTTCGCCCACCTTGGCCGTGGAGTCCTGCTGGGTGCGTTGTGCCAGTTCAGCCGTGAAGGCCGCCAAGTTCTGGGACTCGTGGCGGCACCGCTCGGAGTGGTCGCGATCCGCAAAGGCCTCGTGGTACTGGACGTAGTTGCGCTGGTGCCATTCCTCGGGCAGGTATTTGGCCGTGCGGAAGCCCGCCGTGGCCAAGCCGGAGGAGGAATCGGGGCCGGTGTTGAGGGCCGGTTCATAGACTTTCATGGGCAGCTCGGAGACCGGGATGGTCTGCGGGGCAGGCTCCTTGGTCAGGAGCACCCCGGGGTGAGACATGGCTCCGATCCACACCGCTCAGCTCCCAGCAAAGGGACCCACCAAACTAGAAAGCCCTTGGCTCAGTCTGAGGCCACACGATGCTGCTCTCTCCGATCAGCGTCTTCCGGTTGCTACGGACAATGTCCCCTGGTCAACGGAGCATGCAGGTTGAGGCTTCGTGGCAACGGAAACGGTAGCCAAGGGAATGCGTTCTTCTGTTGCCGCAGCAACTCTTGGAGTCAATGATCCGTGGGAAGTGGCTGACACCCATCTCCCTTTCATTGTCCAGGGAGATAGATCATGGGGATGATGGGAATTCACAGAACAGAATTGCTCTCCAGCAACCAAAACAGGCCCCTGAATAGAATTCCCTCTGAGCATTTTGGGCATTGTCCTGTTGCTCCCAGGAAGGCAGGATTCCCATTCTCGGTTCATACAAACCCCTTCACATGTGTTTACTTAAGCTGAAGGTGCATCTACACTGGAGAAATAATGCAGTTTGACACCAC